GGTCTTGAGCATAAGGTACTGGACTAGGAGCAGGAAGACCTGAATTCTAGTCTAGTCTAGTCCTTGTCATGAAACCAACTCAGTGATTTTGGGCCAGTTACTTTCTCTTAGCTTTGAAAATGTTCCCTAAGAAACTGCATGGACTTGCCCATACAGTGTATTGCCACAAGATTTATTTATTTTTTAATTCCTATGTCAGCTAATTGTCACTTCTCAACATCACTACACTATATATCAGTGATGGTGAACCTTTTAGAGACCGAGTGCCCAAACTGCAACCCAAAACCCACTTATTTATCGCCGGGTGCCAGGTGGACGTGGCCCACTGGGTGGGCGTGGCTGTGGTGGTCATGGCAGATTGGGTGGGTGTGATCACCTCAATGTTGATCGTGGGGAGGGAGATCTGTGGGGGCTGGGCAGGGTTGGGGGAGATCCAGGGAGTCTCTAGCAGATTCGGCGGTGGGCAGGAGCCTCATCCTGTGGGCTGAGGCGAGGCAAGGCAGGGCGGGGGTGCCATTGTCACAGGGCAAGGTGAGGTAGGGGCTGGGGCAGCTGCTGCCTGACACCATCGGCCCCTGCACACAGAGGCCAGTGAGCGCATGTGTGCTGAGATGCATCCAGCCATGTGGGACCTCGGCGAGTTAGCGGGTGGCTGGTTGAAGAGGGACAGTTGTTATCTCCGGGGCATGGCGCATATGCCCACAGAGAGGGCTCTGAGTGCCGCCTCTGGCACACGTGCCATAGGTTCGCCACCACTGCTATATATCCTATATAACACATATATTGATTTACTAGTCTCATTTTAAATTGTGCTTTAAAATTTTGTGCACTAAAACAACTATGATGCTTTTTTTTAAAAAGAGATATACTAGATGCTTGCCTTTTTTTTACAGGTCCCATCTGGTGAAATTAGACCAGGCCTCTAAATAGGTATAAAAAAAGAAGAGCCTTTTCTTGCCTGGCACCCTCCAAAAATATTTATTTAGCCATACTGTGGCCCAACACCCTCAGAAAGACCAAGTTACCGGAAGTCAAGTTAAAATCAGAGATTTCTACAGAAAAAGTTCATTGTGAAGGTTAAGTGGCTTCAGTTAAAAATAACTTGCCAGCCAAGGAAGACACACAAAAAACCAGAACCACAAATTTAAAAAGTTGGCCTAAAACAATGAATCTGCACTGCAGGCCAGCACTGTAGTTACAGAGAAAGCTGGAAGCAAAAAAGATCTCTCTTGACAAACTCTTTGGCTGCTGATAGCAAAAGTGATACTGGCCATGTTAATAAAGAATCCCTTGTCTTTCCGCTTTAGAAACATGAATAAATGTTGGGCTTTGTTAATTGTAACCCTTCTCTTTTTATTTCAAGTCCCAGTTGTATCTTCTCTAAAATGTGTCTGTTTGCAATGCAAGTCGGAGAATGGATTATTGCTAATATTTGCAAGATAAATATTTCTCTATGAAAAATCTGTACCTATTCCAGGTTTGGAGCCACTACATAGTTATTTGTAATTATTATAATTCTTCAGGCATATTAGGCAAAGACTTAGTTTTTTTGGAAAAGGAAATAATGCTGAGAAAGGTGAAAAAAAGAGAGAAGTACAACCAGCAATAAGGTGGAAGGGCTCAATTAAAATGGTGATGTACACTGTTGGAAAATCTGAAGACCAACTAGGACAGGTCATTCCTCGGAATATCTATTTTGGTAAGAGTTGACTCTCTCTCTCTCTCTCTCTCTCTCTCTCTCTCTCT